CCTGGAGCCCTGGTCGCCATGGCAGGCCGAGCAGACGAGCACGTTTTTGTTGCTCCTAACATCCCCTTTGCTCTTATGTTTCTTCAAAGAAGTAAAAATGAGATGCAGCGGCAGGAGGGGTTCAAGTCGCCTCACTGTCTTCCTGGTGTCCCCGAGGTCTGGGGGACTCTGTCACCCACAAGACTTGAAATGTACAATAGCGTAGTTCAAGATGAAGAATTGTCATGAGAAAAACACCTAAAACACATCAGGCTGGGGCTGTCTCAGTCCTGGGGAGTCTGATCTGTGGGAGCAGAGCTGGGCAGGCCTGGGCTGCTCGGCGAGCAGAGGATGGGCGCCCGGGGAGGGCGGCAGTCGGCGAGCGGGGGCCAGGCAAGGGGGCCTGAGCGGGGGCCCACAAGGACCCAGGGAGAGTGGTCTGCGAGCAGGGACCGGCTGGCAAGTCCTTCCTGGGTCCGAGGGTCCTTCTGAACTCCCTGGCACGGCGGGCCCTTATCCAGGGTCCCCAGGGAGAAAATCCCGGTCAGGTCAGACTGGATGGTGACGGTCGGGGAGGCAGCCCTGCCCGCCCTGTCCCGCTGCTCCAGATCCGAGTGCAGGCCTGGGAAGCCCTCACCAGGTTCGGTGCTCTAGGAGCGTCTAGACTGAAGGCCCCTCTGGTCCGCGGCCGGGGCAGTACCGGGCTTGGTGCGGTTCCCAGCCCCGGTGAAGCCAGAGGCGAGGAGGGGCCCGTCAGGTCTCCGCGGCGGACGGCTCTGGCTCTGGGCTGTGGCTGTGGCCCTGCCCGCGGCTCCCTCAGCCGTGCGTGTGGGCGTCGCGCTCAGCCTGGCCCTTCCTGGGTGAGCCCGTGACCTCCCTGCTGGCCCGTGGCCTCGGAGCGGGGAGAGACCCACGTGACGCGGCCTCGCGCCGTATGCGCACCACGCCCTCACCTGGCGCCGTGTCCCCGCAGGCGGTAGCGTGGACCTGGAGCGCCAAGCAGAGGGGAAGAAGGAGGCGGAAGCCGACGACGTCGCGAGGAGCGGCCCGCGGCCCATCGTCCCGTACAGCTCCATGTTCTGTTTGAGCCCCACCAACCTGTGAGTCCCTCCCCTGCCCGTGCGTGGGGCTGTCCCATCGTGCTCTCGCCATGACCCCCAGGGACACGGGAGCCAGCAAGGCCTGGGCAGACCCCCTGGCAGGGACCCAGGCTGCACGCCCTGCCGCACGCCCGTCTTCGCCCGTCACTGCAGTCCCTCGAGACACATGCCCTGTTACCCCTGTCACAGAAGAAGACACAGACAGTCTTGGTGGAGCCGGGTCTGGATGCAGCCAGCCGCTCCAGAGCCCGCTCCTCACCTCCCTGCAGTGTTCACTCTTCTCTGCACGCGTGGCCCGTCTGCCCCGTCTCGCACAGAGGCTCCCATTGCACCCATCACCCACACATGCACGCGTGTGTGCAGGGTTTCTGTTCACGTGTCCATCCGCGTGTCCTCTCCCGTGTTTATCCATCACGCGTAGCCGTCCACTCCTCAGTCCAGTGCTTTCGTCAGTCCGGCCAGTGTTCCGTGGCAGACGGCGTTCGGACTCGGGGATGCCCGGGAAGGAGGGAGGCAGGCCGGAGCCCTCTCCTTGCCGAGCTCACGTGCCGGCGGGAGCGAGACAG